ATGAACAAATGAACAACTCTGAGTGAATAAGCTGCGTAGAAGACCAATAAAGCACTGATTCGGAGATATTCATCGATGACCAATTGACTTCTTCGTTCCACTTGGTCATAGTTGATCAATGTCTGCTGCAAGAGCATTGCCAAAACCGCACTGAATCCGAGGACTTTTATCTTCAGCTTCTGTATCGTTCAGCCTCATATTCATATCACTGATCCTGTCTTCCTTCCGACCAACCCCAGACATTTTTAGATGCTCAACACCAAGTTCACGTTCGTCACTCTGTAAAAAGATGTCACTGAAAGGTTCATTTACCAATTATTATTTGCGTCACTTTCTCATTGGCAGCAAAGACAAGCTCGTGTAATTGTCAGTTTACGGAGGGAATTGGCGAGCTGAACAAAACTGTGAGGTGATTTGTAATTTACGTACATCAGAAGAGGAAAGGTAGTTTTTTATTGGAAGGTTTTTCATCATAATGAGAAAGAGTTATGCCGTATGCGATAGTGCAGTTTGTTTCTATATCTGAAACTTAACGCAGATTGGTGTCATACCGATGCTGAAAAGTTTGCGAGCACTCGCAGCATTCCTGAATACTTCAAGTTTTAGCAATTGCAATCAGTTGTAGCTTGATGAGTTTTGTGATGAAATGTCAATAAATCTGTATGTTCCATTCGATATCATCAAGTTTTCCAATCATTAAGCAGCTGTACAGGCAAAAAGGGCGATATGAAAGAGGAACAAGAAAAGTTTTACCATTTGATTAAATCCATCACGCGCAGTATTGATGGAACCACGTTCATTCGCCTTACGAGCTTCATCAGCGGAACGCATCTGGAGTAAGTTATCCAATAACAAGTCGTCATATTCCATAGGGATTCTGAAAGCAGATTTGAAGAGCCCAGAATTCGAACGATGGCTGCATGGTTATAGTGGAGTGTGTGGAAAAAACTGGAATGTTCGGAATGCTGACTTGATCACTACATGCTTTTCATAGAGCTTAAAGATGCAACAGATCAGGGAGTGTGCATGTTCTTAGAAATAACCATATAATCAGCAATCAATCATCAATCGCGTAGAGTGAGTGTGGCTGATACTACATTTATACAAACACGTAATGCACTGACAAAAAATTCACGCTTGGGCTTGAACTTGAAGACTGAGCCTGGGCGTATGTCTCATTTGTTGAAGTAGTTGAATTACTGAAGCGCCAGCAATTGCTATTCATAGAATCGCGGAAAGTTTTACTTGTGAGAATATTCGCAGATGGTGATGGATCTCATGTTGCTGTGCTCCNCCCCCCCCCCCCCCCCACTCGACGATGTATTACTTGTCAGAGACAAGCAAGGAGAAACCAGGAAATCGATACACCGATCAACAAAATTTGCTGCCAAAAATCTGATGGTTGCATCAATTTCTTGTGATTGAATGATCACTTACCAAGGAGAGAAGTTAATTGCGGATATTATTGGACGAGGGTGGCAGAACGATTCTAAAACGATCACTTTCCAAAGAAAGAGTTTTTCTTCCTGTCGCCATGAGAATCAATAGCAAAAAAAGATACACTAGAGGAAGCTTTCGGAAGTTGATTACGTTTCGTTTTAACACGTTCTCGAAAAAGAAAATCAACTAGGTTAAGATGAATCTGTGCGTTTACTTCTTAACAATGCAGGGCGTATAGGGTTTTCGGTTGAATTTTTGCCATATTTGTTCAACACTTTCATCGCTTTCTGATGTTTCAATATGTGCGACAACGATATACGGTTCTTCAGCTCTTGCCTGCATGCGGAACTTTTTGGATGGCAGGAAAGACATCTGCAATTCTTTTGAGAAACTTTTTCAACGGTTTTTGTGCACGCGTCTCGAGTAAAATTAAAATTTTGTTAAGTGATTATTCTCCTCCTGAATTCCAAGTGCATCAGTTACTGAGAATTTCCCAGCTGTTCCAAACTGAGAATAAAAATGATTAGAGTCGTATACGAATCGGCGCCCAATCGTTGTTGTTGGAGCAGTGTTTCCAATAGGAAAGACAGCTATTTCACTGAATAATCAAACACGCCTCGCAATTTCTTGGTAACATAAGCGAGTATCGTAGAAAACCAAAACTACTGATCTGTGCATATATCTCCGAAATAATATACTTCGACGATCAATACGAAAAGATGAAACGTTCCATACAGTCAAATTATATTGCATCTCCGGATCAACAGTGAACATTTCAACGTGATAATCACGAAACTGTGGATCAAGAGGACAGAACACTTGCACTGCTCGTCTCTTCTGCAAAATAAAGCAACAACCGTTCGCTTCAAGCTGAATGACTCATGAATATCAAGAAATTCACACTGCGAACAAAAAACGATTTCTCAACCAGTTTTCGACCAACTTAAAGTAAGTGAATATATTTAAACGAAATGAAAGCACTCACGTCGGAATTATTCACGAATGTCATTGTGGTGAAGAGACGTTTCTCATCGGAGTTTTCAGATGGTTTGAATTTGACCAAATCATTTGGAATACACTCTAACAACAACTCAGTCTTGCTATCTGCCAATTGTACATTTTGCAATAAGTCTTCACTCGCATTCATAATTCTTTCCATTCGCTTGTTTTCACTATCCTCTTTGCTCACCTCGAATTTTGCCCGTAAACTGTAAGTAAATTCCGTGATATATTCACATGCAGTTTGAAACGTTTAGTGGTATTTCATTTAAACGAAGCACATATCCCCGCTCAACCTGATAACGCAACATCTTAAAATTTTGCACCATCAAGTGAAAGTTCTGAACGGCCAGTCCACTTCGCAATGCTTATTTCATACTGTAACTGAGGCAAAACGGTCCAATTCCGAAAACTGCTTTAGGAAAGGGGATTGAACTTCATGAGAGTTTAATAACGCCTACGGGCATATTTCAGTCCGTTGTGTGTTCAACGTAAGTCAAAAACTAAGTACAATCCTAAACGCATGACTAGTATCAAGCATTGACCCTAACTCAAGCCTAATTCGTCTGAATGAGGTTAAAATCCACTTGTGTGTACTGCTATAATCGAGCGAGGTGGACGTTATAATACGTGCTATGATACGTTCAGAAGAATTTGTCTCATCCACCCGGCCTCACAAATCCTTCCGTTTACATTCGACGAATTGCAGCAAGCACCCGCAGACTTGTGACCGTTTTGCAGATTTGCAGAGATATTTCTCCTTGTGTGATCAAAACGAGAGTGGTACTCGGTCAATGTCTTTCAGGTCGTTTATTTGCAAGGGTACAAAAAAAGCTCACAATCAGACAATTTGACGGAAACGATTAATTGATAACTTCGGTGCACTGCTTCACTCTGGATGCTTTAGACGACCGTGAAAAGTGCGTTTGGGTTTTGAGCGTTATTTAATATGACTGTTGATGTAGTCTTAAGTCGTTTCTTAGATTTACACTTTCACTTCGATGCATTCATAGAGTGAGCTTTTAAAAAGATAAATTCATGAGATGCTCAGCTGAAAAGAATGGATATTTTCCAGGAGATGACTAAATGAGTAAACGATAACCGTTTAACCACATCCGTCTTATCACTACTGTCAGCCCAACACTGCTGAGCTGATTTATTTGGATCATCGGATGAAATGTAGTGGATGGCAAACCACTGATCCTCTCGGTTTCTGTCAGTGATTTCGTTTGTCGGTATATACGTTATCTGAAAACGTTACATTTCAACGAACAATTTTCATTATGCTTTAAATTGATTTCGACCTCAAAATGAACTAATTCACATAACAGCACGAAAATGAACATATATTTGCTACAACAATGTCTGTCGGAGAAGCTCAACATTACGAACGATTATTTTCAATAGGTTTCTTTCATTTAATACGGCCATTATCTCCTAATACCTTGACGGGCAGTTCACAGTGAGCACCCAATTCGAAAACGGCCGGTCGAATTATGAACATTTTATTGCAAGTAGTTTTGACTTTGCAGATTCGGCGTTGCTGAAAATAAAGGCTCGTCGAGATACGTCCATTATAGGATTTCAGCACGAATGACAGAGATAAAGCATTCAAATATTCATTTTTAGAAACATTTCTGTTATCGTTCACGCTTTTCACTAATCATATTCTCGTTGCAATCGTTCATCTCAGATTGTCGGGCTTTTCAAGACGATCAACTCAACAATTTTATATGATCGATCATCTGACCGCTGTTGGATTGCCAACCAATAGAATCGCATTGGCAATATCATCTTCACCATGCGGTTGCCTGAATGTGACGAAGTCATTATCTCGCACGGATGCTAAACAATCGACATCCAGTATAAACTCTGAATCACTCTTCTCATTCATCCTTCAACTTCTATCTTCTTCTTTTTCTAAACGACCGCCCCGAGTCTTCGATCCCACATAAGTGATTCATTCATCAAATAATTATATTCGGTCAACTCTTTCTGTGCTATTTTTCTGGCTTCAATAAATTTTACATGTCAATGCAAATTATTATGCGGTAATATTTCTCATATGAGTAGATGACGTTTCGTTGCCGTTGTTTCGCTGCCAGAACATTCCGCCGCCACCACTTCTTCGCTAATATATTCATAGAGTACTCTAAACAATAGTCAAGCAGATAAAGTTTTCATTCCTTAATACGTTGTATCTCATGAAACTTAAACTTTCGTCTGATAACGAAATTGCTTTTCTGTTCTAATAAAATGGATATGTAGTGACCATCTCCAGAATTGCCACCCTTTCAGATGACTGTATATATTTGAGCTATTTTTTTGGAAGGTTGTTTTCAAGCAGCATTCGAATTTGCAAATGCAGTTTCAAAAGTTCACACTGAGCCAATTCTATTTATAGTCGATGAAATGCAAGGATCATTTTGAAGAGAAACACGGACTACTACGTACGGATTCAAACCGTGAATGCCATTTTCGAGCGATTTCAGATCGCTTGATCTGCTGATTGAACTCTTTCTGTCTTGCTGAGCAGCAGGTTTCAGTCTAACACTAATATTACGAAGCAGTGATGGCCAAATTCCAGAGCCTAAAAATTTTCTTTTAGCTTCCTCAAAAAATTACCTTAGCGACATTCAGTTTCCTAGGACTTAGACCGACAATGTGAAATTGATCGTTGCAGACACAATGAAATGAAGCAATCGGTTTTCAAGAATTCATACATTTTTCGTAAGCTTTGCGAAGTTGCTAGATACTATGTACACTTTTCAAAACCAGACGATTTGGAGAATCTGAAGATGTGTAGAAACCGTGATACTTCTGAGCGAATCTGAGGAATGTACCAGTTTGAAAGTATTGCTCCTGATTCTTCTCATAAATCTATATGTTTCTGATTTATTTGCACGAAACGGACCTACGGTAAGATCTATCTGTTGCAAATTTTTAGCTTTCTAGGCCTTGAATGAACTCACTTATGATCACCGAACATATTCTCGCTGAATTTTGTCGTTGTGTTTCAGATCTTGTTGATGTCCGTTCAATGTATTCGTAAGGGAACGAAGTTATTAGCTGTTTTCTCACAATAATAACAAACGCTCATTAATGCTTCTCACCAAGGTTTTTTATATTCGGATGCACAAAGGACTGAATGGAAGGTTCCAAGGCAACTGGTTCGTAGATTTCTTAGGGATCACGATATTCGAGAGGGCATTAAAGATAAGTCGATCGGATGCGAGAGTGCTCGAGTTTCAGCACTGTTTGAAGTGTAAAATAAATATCATTTCAATTTGTTGTGTCACATCAGTTTCCGTTATCGTTTGATTATCACTTCATAATTTCAGAGAACAGTCATACAAACATCCAAAATAAATAACCAAGTAAATACGAAATAATTCAAGGTAATATTGCGGTAACATTTGGGTGATCAAGTATGCAGCAATCGTCCAGAACAGCTGTACAACAATCATCATCAATCAATCCGAACTTTGCAAAAAATTTAACAGCGTTTGCTTTAAGTGTCTCCTTCTTGTAGCGTCCTCTCGGGATTCCCTTGTTACTGCATACAATCATCTGAAAATACGACTCTCTCATTTACAATGATAGAAGCTTGAAAGTATGTTCCGTGGTGAAGAAAACTGTTGAAAGCTTAGATGCATATTGATAAATGGCTAGCATGAACAAATGTGATCAAACAGAAATGGAAAGATATTGATTTGAGGGAAGGAAATTCGCATTGAAATTTAAATGAATTTTCAAAAGTTTGCAATTGTCTAGAGATGGGTGAGTGAACAATTCTCGTTGAACCTACCCGATTGACAACGGTGGACGAATCCAGCACCGCACAATTCGCAAAGTGCTTTCGGTAAGTATCAGCAAGCTGAAAAAAATTGAATTGAACTGTTGATTTCAGTCGGAATTGTACTGCAGATATTGCAGTATTTATACATTGCACTCTTCTGTCAGAGAAAATCAATGAAACGATGAGACTCGCAACTATTTATTAATCAACAAACCTTTTCTGCGGATTCATCAACATCTTCTGCAGATATCAGTACCTTCAGCACAAGTGATCCTGCAAACTCATTGACAATAACTGAGTTAAGAGATTACTCAAAGAGTAACTAAGCGACGCTGCTTGAGATTTCTGTTTTTCGCCTGTGAAAAATTGTCAACTATCAGTTGTAAGTTCCTTAGAACACATTCACTAAATTTTGCACGAAGCTGTTTAAACTTTTGAAACAGCAACATAAAAGATCAAATAATTTGTGAATTACAGAACGAATATATCAAAAATGCGCTTTACTGACCAGTGCTTTTAAGTACTTTTCTCATTAATTTGATGCTGCGATCTTTTTGAAACACTGAGACGGGGCAAACGACTTCAACCTCGTCAATTTTTGGCAATTTCGTTGGACAAGCATCAATATAAAGAGCATCGTATTTCCAACCTGAAACGGAAATAGTCAAAATACATTCTTCCGATGTCAATCCAAGTTGTTCCTTAATGTATGCCTCTTTTTAACTGCTGTTTTTTGTTGAAAAGAAGTTGCTTCCAAAGACCCGGGTATGACGGCGTTCATGACGTTCATAGGAAAACTATTTACTTTTGGTGTTATAGCTATAATATAAGTGAACGATCAGAACTTGTGTTCAGCTATATCAGTACCTTCAGCAATATTCAGAGCAACTTATGTTTCAGCTTGCAGCAATTGAAATAAACTGAAGAAATAATCATAAGATTATTGCTGATGGAAATACTCAACCATTTTTGGCAGCCTTTCTGAGGAGAGTGAGTCCATTCATGACGAGAACTCGCTGCGTTTTGTCTTCTATCAATCCGAAGTATTTACGTGCCACTCTAACCATTGCTGGTTCTAGCTCAGCGATTGTGATCTTCATCTAAAATCGTTGTACAAGACTACTGAAGTTTTTCATGAAGGCAAAAGCGTCGACTCGGAAAAGAAACGTGTCACGAGCGATCGTGATTAATCGGTTGATGAATGAACATCGATTGAGGACTGCTTCCTTGTCAGTGAAGTGATAGAGTAAGCATGAAAAAAGCTGCAGCAACGATATTTTACTTTCGGAAAAGTGTAGTGCAGGTAGTTGGTTAAATGAGCACCACCGAGACCAATAACGAGCACGTTTGATGTGGCATTCTGATCGACTTTCAACGATCCAGTTGCAAAGGGCGGAACAATAAGAGGACGAATACCGACTTCAAGCTTTCGATAATCAGGCTTCAGTGTTGAAGTATCGAAAGGGTTCGTCTCTGATATATCTGCAATGGCAAAAATGGAGTCATGTCTATTAAGAGCATGGAAATTTGNTTTTTTCTCAAATGCGACTGCAGAAAATGTTGATAGCCAACAACAACGATTGAATTTCTTTAGAAGATATCCTTGATCTGTGAGAAAATCAAAATAAATTCAGATGTAGTTTCGTTCACTTTATCATAGAAACATGAAATGAACGACATTCATCTATTACAGATGCGATAAGATTCATTTGGGTTTTAGCAAGATAGCAAGATCGCTGCAAAATGATCAAGTTAAGAAGTTCGCTTTGAAGAAAGCAGTGATAAGAAACTCACTATCAGGAACGCTTAGCCTGAGTTCGCTCACTTCCTGATCGCGATAATAATTCATAATTCTGCGGTAGATCGTTATTTTCGAGCTGCAATTTCTCTCATAAATGGGACATCATGCTGCAAGTGTGTTATTCAATGGATACTGGCAAGAGAGTCACATCCAAAAGTGTTACCTGTTGTCAGGATCTCTAAATACTAAGTCCACAACCGACAGATGTGCCGTAGAAGTATTGAATGTATCAATTTCTACCACCATATATTTTTCGAACGATGTGTTAAGTAGTGAAGGAAAAGGAGGTTCAGCATAGATGAAAGTTCCTTTATTGTACCCCTATAAAGCAATTATGATAGCATTTACTTGCCTCATTCTTATGACCTTCTCAATGAATATTTGAAATTATTTGATTGCATAATTTCACAGCCAGTATAAGCTTAAAAAGTTCAAGTCAGCTTATACGTTTTAAAAAATTCCACCAGAGTATCGCATGACTCTCCCTTCAGTGGAGATTAATGCGGAAGGGCGATATATTTGCGTTTCAGCTCGCTCAAAATATCGTCAGATTGTTCGTGCGAAAAGTGTCGATTGAAAAAAATTATCAGAAACTAGTTGCAACGTTTGCTTTAAACAATGAATCACAACAGTGANGGGCGATATTTCGTGTTTTCGGACATGTTTCTAAACGAGTTCATCAGATTCAAGAAATACGAGGGAAGCAAAGTTATAGATCATCGACAGAGTCACGCTTATGCTCCAGCCAGTTTTCATTTGAATTTAATGAGAGGGACTCTAGTGATTGCTCAAATTCGTAACGATGAAAATAATCGAACATCGAGCCATTCATCTATTGGCACTCATACGTGTTAAAAATAACTCGGATTGTTTTTGATGTCATAAAATGATATAATTGCTTACCACCATAGACAATGCAAAACTATTCAAACATATCGTAAGAATAATTGCAGTCCAAACGCATTCGAATAAATTCATCGTACTGACAACTGCAAAAAATTGCTTGATTTAGGATGTTCGTGCATTGGAACAGTCAGCTAGTCGATAAATTCTAACAATGAGATCTGCTTGCACAATGGGAAATTGCCAAGTGTTAAAATTTCACTTGAACGCGACCTAGTTGCAAAGGAGAACAACGAATGAAAATGGGGTTGTTGCAGCAATAAGGTGCGAAATAATTGTGATTTTTTTGATTCGATCAACATTCTTTTCTTTTTCTTCTTTCGAACTCGTTTTTTTTAACAACCAGCACTCGTCATCAGAACATTCATGCATGTTTTAGGAGTGGATGAAAAAAACGAACAATTTAATGATTATGTGACACAACATGAAAGTATTGGATCCCAAATGATCGCTTTCTCACTCGTGTTGGAATTATTCTCCGTCTGCAGAACAAATGATACTAGCAACAAAGCGAAAAATTCCTTTGTTGTGGGTGATTGGGAGAATTATCCATCAAAAATATTACTTATCCTCGCACTATATGAACAGCAGATAACATTTTCGCATCACTTGTATAATGCGTGAAACCCGGAAATGAACTTCGAAGTTACGAGAATGTATTTGCGGTTATTTGTTACAATGAAACAACTTTCACTCAATTAAACTATTAACTTAGCGCTATCAACTCTAGGAGTACTCTTACTGGTAAAGGGTTCAGCAGTGGAAATACCGCAGATAAATTTGTCGTTGTTGTCAGAGGTCACATGGAAGTCGTGTCGATGTGCACAGAGGAAATTGGCTTTTTACTCGACTCAGCAAATAATCGAATGACATCAGCTATCGCTTCTCTTAGTTTATTTCACTTAGGACTTGAATTTACAGAATTAATCATCTAGTAATTGGACAAATGAGTGGAAACAGAATACTTGACGGACGTATACTTTGGTGACTTAGTGAAGCAAGCACCCTCATTCCACCAGCTATGTTGCATTCTGATCAACTCAAAATTAGAATGCACCATTGCTGATGATATAATGAACACGAACTGAGATACCAATTGTGCACAACCAACCAAATGGTTCCACTTCTAAGGAGTTTAACAAACTGATGGTAATAAATTTGCTTTTTGATTATATACAAATCGAAGATCAAAAGGACCACCTTCCGTCATCGACAGCATTCGTTTCACATTGTTCAAACAGCAAATGAAACATCGCTTTTGCTTGCAAGTTATTTCAAGCGACTGAAACGATGTNCGAACTGAGATACCAATTGTGCACAACCAACCAAATGGTTCCACTTCTAAGGTGTTTAACAAACTGATGGTAATAAATTTTCTTTTTGATTATATACAAATCGAAGATCAAAAGGACCACCTTCCGTCATCGACAGCATTCGTTTCACATTGTTCAAACAGCAGATGAAACATTGCTTTTGCTTGCAAGTTATTTCAAGCGACCGAAACGATGTTCGACATGTCATCATGCAAACATCACTAAAACATCCCCCAACGCGCCAAACCGATGTAAAAGTCGAAATTAATTATGTTTTATTGCAACAAACAACGATGCATCATTCCAAATTATCGTAATGTACATGAAGTAAATAAATGCTTTGAATGATTGTAACACTTCATTACATACCAATTTTATGCATTTCTCATGCATCGATGACCATCGCAATTCACAAACTATTTGCAAACGCAACCAAAAACAATTCATCGTGTGCACTGATTGTGAGCGAAGAAAAACTGTCCATCGAATGTTTCAGCCTTGCGGGAATTTCGAAAATTGAATTCCAAACATGCTCAATAGTTCTGAGTTCTCGTAATTCAAAAGCAGGCTCGTTCGGTAGTTGATTGAAGTGATTAGTGATTGGTTTGCCAAAACCAATACGTGCAAAATTACTGCCTTCGAAAGTGAAAAGAAACGAAAGTGTTCACTGATAAGCGTCAATTCTCAGAAAAACGATTTAATTCAGAGGATAATATGTAGTTTCGCTGATTAATAATGAAATAAATATTGATTATGATCGATAAATCTGACAGTTCAGAAGTGCCTGAGCCATCTGAGTCTTTGGTTCGTCATTAGTCATGCAACACAGCATTGAAGCTATAGCAATCAGATTTCGAATACTTTCAGCTGTTTTCAGAATGCGAAGCAACACATTGTATATTGTTCTCAGCCTGATTGATTCTACTGATCCGTGATTATATACAGTGCAGTGGTAACAGCACACAATATCGCATAAGTAAAATATTACCGTTCATTC